CATAAACGAAACAATTGTCTCTGTCGTTGCTTTTTGTTCAGTTCATTGAAGATTTGGTAGCGTTCAAGATTTATAGGTAATGTGCAAAGATACTTCCAGAACTGACCGCTTCTCTTCTTATAAAACTTCTTTTCACCAAGGATTTCATTCCAGAAGTCATCTATATCTTGTTTATCTCCTGTTTGTTTAAGTCTGTTCAATAATCTTTTCTGTCTTTCTGTCAGTGTGCTTTCATCTCTATATGGTCGCTTTTGGTTTCCTTTCTTTACATCTGACATCGTTAAGCCTTCATATTCAGTTAAATCATACATCTTTATTTCAGTAAGATTCTTTATGTTTGTCAAGAAGAAGTCATAGTGCATTTCAACAATACCTGCAGCATTTGCTTCTATCTCTGATATAAAGTTCTCCTTCAAGAGCTGATGTAGTAATGTTCCAATATTATTGAGGTTTAACGTAGAACATTCATACTTTCCACCAAGTTTATAACATACCATCCATCTGTTGTGAGTTTATTTTAATCTTCTCTAAGAGTCTCATGAAAACCTTACCGAAATGTTTGTGTAAGTAGTCTCTGTTTGGTTCATCTAAAGCTTCGATGTTAAAGTCAATGAGTCTATTGCCTGACTTCACATTTCTCTTCCTATTCTCTTCATCTTTCTTTAACCATCTCTCACCTTCTTTTGGTTTGTCGTCAATGGAACGAATGACATCGTTAGCTTTGCGAACTTGTTCTATAGCGCTCTTAAACATCTCTCTTCTCTGTTGTTTCAGTGTGTCGTCTCTCTTTCGTGTTTCACCAACGTTTGCATTTGTTATGTCAAACATCTCTTGACGAACATCATGCGAAAGAGCTTTACGAGTATGACCAACGTTTGCATTTGTTATGTCAAACATTTCTCTTCTTACTTCATGAGGTACTGAACGTCTATGATATAAGTCAATAGCAACGTCATTTAAAGGAAATGCTCTTGCATGGACTTCGTCCTCGCCGCGTTGCGGCTTTATGAACTCATGAATTCTATCATAACTTATTGCACCATTATAGTCATTGAGGATGTCAGCGAGTGCTTTTTTGTTTGTTGCGTAATGCTTTGCTACTTCTATGTTAGCTTCTGTAAGAAGTTGTTTTATTTCCGAGTGTTCTAACTTAGACAACTTCCGATACATCTTTAGTAGGAAATAAAAAAATATTTTTGAAAAAATTAGATTAGATTTTTTAAAGTTATTTTTCAAAATAATTTAATATTTTTATTTTAATGAAACACATGCAAGATTGCAAGTTCTTTTCATACAATGCTCTCGCTACTGCCATCAAGAATGAGTTCAATAATGCTTCAAATGTTAATGTTATCTTTAACAAGAAGTTTGTGAAAGAATCTAAGTTTGGTCAGTATGTCAGACCATTAGCTATCGTCATTGACCGCAAACGTTATACTTCACAAGAGTTAGCAGTAGTTTTGAAACAAAAGAGTTTCTTCGTGAATGTCAAAGATACTCATTATACTGTTATAAAGAACTCTAACATTGACTTCTTCAGTATTGCTTTAAATCTTTCCGAACAGAAAGAATATAAGAAGGGTGAAACAAATGTGAAATATTATCCTTCATCTCTGAAGACAATAACGAACAAAGATGTTATACAGAAATTCTTACCAAAGGTTGAAGAAGCTTCAATTGACATTGACGAAGGAAGTGAAATGGTTGAAGAAATTGACCCTGAAGTTATTTAAAAAAATATATTTTTGAATAACTGAAAGTGTCACCACGTCACCATGTGCTACCAGGTTAATTAACTTCTTTTAAAAATGATGACAACATGACATTTTGACAACAGTCCAGGAAATAAATTTTATCGTTAATGTTTACGTTAATGTTTTTCATTAAATTTTGACAAAGTGCAAATCTTCACTTCGTCAAAAAAAGTTAATGTTTTTCATTGAAATCGGTAAGTTTTCATTCTTCCTCTTTGAAGTTGTCGAAATATTCTGTTATCTTTTCTTTCAGTAATGTTAAGTCTTCTTTAAATGTAAGTATTGTGCAACCTTTGATGTCATAGTGTGTTTGAGGAAGAGTATTTTTGACAATTTCCTTTATTTGCTCATTCGGTGTCATTGAAATCGGTAAGTTTTCACGATAGAACCAGTTTCTGTCAGATTTATATATCTTAGCTAAGTCATAAAAGCTCTTGTTGTTTCTTCTCACTAAATGCAACATAACCATATCTCTATCTTCTTCTTTCTCCAACTCTTCAGCGTAAATCATATACTTATAGCTTTTTTCCTTTCCTTTTGGTACTGAACGTGGTATTCTTTTCTGTATGCTTTTGTCTTTGGATTCAATGACTTCATCTTTTGCTTGAAGTTTCTTTTCCATGGTATTTCTTTTCTGCTTTATATAGTTCATCTAACATCATGAAAATATAACAAGCATAACGAGGTGAAGCCCACATTGCTACAGCATTTACTAAAAGTCTATGAACATAATAACCTTTCAAACCGGGAGCCAAATTCTTGCGATTTTCGTACGGAATCTCTTCTCTCGGTTTTCCGAGGGAAGCAATCATATGAGGAAATTCTTCTAAAAGTTCTTTTGCCTGTTGGTTTTCAAACCAATGATATGCTTGCTTTGTAGAAAGAAGAGCATTCAAAATACTTTGCATTTGGTACATGTCATCTTTGACTGAACGAATAAGACGTAACTGTTTGTTATACTGTATGTACTCGTATTCTTCATTTATGGCTTCATGAACGATAGCAATTGTTGTGTTCTCTGATGTTGACATTACTGTCTTTACATACAAAATAAAAAAATAAATAAAAATAAAACTAACTTTATTTTTTCTGAGATAAACACTATTTCTTCACAACATTAAATTTTATCCTGTATGAAATGACTTTAAAAAGATTATGAAAAAACCAGAATTTTCGAAAAAGTGACACCAACTATTAAAGTTATTTTATTACTAGATTTATTTACAAATTATAAGATAATATCATTAACCGAATATATTTTTAATATAAATAAAAAACTTTTTTTATACAAAAAATTACAATCAATCGATAAATATTATAAAACGAGTGTGGGACAAACTATCCAGTGTCACTTTTTTATTAACCTTATTTTAAAAAATTAATAAAATAATAATAAAAAATTATTTGAATCTTTTACATTAATTGTTTCTTTTTTAAAAGTACCTTTAAAGTACAATAAACAAGATTTGAATCTATTGATCCTTGTTGCAAACTTGAATATATTGCTTCAAGCATTTTTGAGAGTAGCCCATGCTAGCTTTTATCTCTTCTTGGATACCAAACTGGAGGAGCTCCATAGTGTTGAATATCACGGGCTCCATACAACAAATTGAATAAGGTATTTCAAAATTTGAAGGAAATGGTCCATCATTGAATGTAGTGGCCGGGAATTGAATGACATACAGATAGTTTGAGGAAATTTGTTATAAATTATAATATAATTGAAGAATTAATTATCAAAACAAGTCTAAGAGCCATTTGTCAGATTTTCCCGAAATGCAAGGTTAAGATTTTAGCAGCGACTAACTTTGAGTGTACATATATAATTGTTATACTGAGTACTTTCTATCTGTGTTACTTATTTGAGTCTAAGAGCCATTTGTCAGATTTTCCCGAAATGCAAGGTTAAGATTTTAGCAGCGACTAACTTTGAGTGTACATATATAATTGTTATACTGAGTACTTTCTATCTGTGTTACTTATTTGAGTCTAAGAGCCATTTGTCAGATTTTCCCGAAATGCAAGGTTAAGATTTTAGCAGCGACTAACTTTGAGTGTACATATATAATTGTTATACTGAGTACTTTCTATCTGTGTTACTTATTTGAGTCTAAGAGTCATTTCTACCATAGAACTAGATATTGTCTCTCATTAAATATATATAACTGTAAACTGCTTAATTCATTTATCTATTTAGATAAAATTATATTTATATAAGATTTCATGTTATTATTTCATCTTTATTATTTTTTTATTCCTTTGAAAAGTGACACTGGATAGTTTGTCCCTTTCTCATTATAAAACATTTATTCCAAAAAGATTAAGTAATAGGTGGGATCCTGCATATAATATAATTTTATGTCATAAAGTTTACAAATTTTAGATGGACCACAGTGAGAATGTGAGTGGTTAATTTAAAGGTGGTCTGATAAAGACATCGAAGCTTACTCAACACAGCATGAAGCAGTTTCTAATACACAATCTTACTAGTGGTGTTTCGGTCGCCAGCGCTCTCATAGGGGTGCTGATTTCAAAAACCACTACTTCAAATTATTCAACAATACTCAATGCAGCATGAAGCAGCTACTACTGCTGTATCTTACTGGTAGTGTTTTGGTCGTTGGCTCTTGCACAGTCTCTCAGATTTTCAAAATTTTTTTCAACACTATCTTGTTTCGCTCTCAGAAAGCTATCCTACAAAGACATCGAAGCTTACTCAACACAGCATGAAGCAGTTTCTAATACACAATCTTACTAGTGGTGTTTCGGTCGCCAGCGCTCTCATAGGGGTGCTGATTTCAAAAACCACTACTTCAAATTATTCAACAATACTCAATGCAGCATGAAGCAGCTACTACTGCTGTATCTTACTGGTAGTGTTTTGGTCGTTGGCTCTTGCACAGTCTCTCAGATTTTCAAAATTTTTTTCAACACTATCTTGTTTCGCTCTCAGAAAGCTATCCTACAAAGACATCGAAGCTTACTCAACACAGCATGAAGCAGTTTCTAATACACAATCTTACTAGTGGTGTTTCGGTCGCCAGCGCTCTCATAGGGGTGCTGATTTCAAAAACCACTACTTCAAATTATTCAACAATACTCAATGCAGCATGAAGCAGCTACTACTGCTGTATCTTACTGGTAGTGTTCTTCGCTTCTTACTATCAACTCTAAAACTAGTTTGATGTATTATTTATTCAATATTAACCTTAATTATTGACAATTCTCACTTTTTTCATTTTTTAAATGAATCAATCCGTTCCTGCACCCCTTGCTGATACAAAACAATATATTGATTTCATTCATTATCTTCAATATGGAGTTCAAGCAGAGATGCGTGCTAACTGCAATTATCGGAAAGATTCGCATTTGAATTCAGATGGAGTAACAATTATTAGACATTACTGTAGATGGGGAAGTTGTAGTGCTAACTTTACCTTTGAAATGAAATCTAATCAATACAGATTTGTAACTGGACATCATTTTCATAATCATGTTGGTGAACCACCGTCTTTTAAATATATACATATATAAATATATACATATATAAATATATACATATATAAATATATACATATATAAATATACATATATAAATATACATATATAAATATACATATATAAATATACATATATAAATATACATATATAAATATACATATATAAATATACATATATAAATATACATATATAAATATACATATATAAATATACATATATAAATATACATATATAAATATACATATATAAATATACATATATAAATATACATATATAAATATACATATATAAATATACATATATAAATATACATATATAAATATACATATATAAATATACATATATAAATATACATATATAAATATACATATATAAATATACATATATAAATATACATATATAAATATACATATATAAATATACATATATAAATATACATATATAAATATACATATATAAATATACATATATAAATATACATATATAAATATACATATATAAATATACATATATAAATATATTTATATATATAAATATATAAATAACAAAATACAATCAAAAAATAGTGTTTGAAAATTTAAGGTTAAGTGTCACTTTTCTATTGTCACTTTTTCGTAAATTCTACCACACTCACTTTATTTTTTCTGAGATAAACACTATTTCTTCACAACATTAAATTTTATCCTGTATGAAATGACTTTAAAAAGATTATTGACTGACTTCGAATACTATCTCATTGACGCACTGACAGACCCTCAAAACTGTGTTGAAAGTTCTTTAAGCTTTAAGATTGAAGGTACGACGCATTTTGTCTTCACTTACGTATTGAAAGAATATGACCGTTATCATAACGAAGTGAATCAAACACTAATAAAATTTGTAGATAAAAAATTGGTTAACAATGAATATTTTAAACGTGAAGACCCAAACACTGCTGGAGATGATGAAGAATACAGACAAGTTATTGAAAAAAATAACGCAAGATTAGATGCAATAGAAAAGAAGTTTAATGAATGTCTTACAAACACGTATGAATATCTTATGCGGTGGGAAGCTAGATGGAAATAAATTTACGTCAAATATGCAATTTATAAAATCTTATGTCGACAGGCTACGTAGCACAGTGGTCTAAGGTGGTGTTATGGAGGGTCAGGGTCTGTGGTTCGAACCGCGACAGCGCCGTATTTTCTTATTTTCTTTGTTTGTCTTGTTTGTCGTGAATAAAAAGTGTCATAAAAGTGCTCTATCTTCCACGGGAATAAATAAAAATTTACTTTATTTCTTCTTTATTTCTTTGTTCCCGTGGAAGAAAGGTTTTGCTGTTTTTCTCAGCCGAAATCAATGATTTTTTCATTTTTGGAATCCTTAGCGAATGGGGAATCTTTTCTCTCGTGGAAGCTTTGACCAAAAATATATTTCATTTTCAGCATTATTTTTTTGCATTTTGAACTCTATACCATGCGAATACAGTCACAAATGGTGGCATATAATCTTCACCCGAGCCTGTTGGATTTGTTGTGAAAGTGTGTGAATGATTTCCTGCGGTTCCACAGAAAATACCTGCGCTTGAATCTACTGGGTCAGTTGTGATATCATATCTATTCATTCCCTGTCTATCCGAACCTGCTGCAAGATTTGTAAAACCTCTTTTTGTTATTGAATGTGAATGATTACCTGTTGTGTTTGTCGCTCCTGTATGAGTGTGCGGTGGAAGGTTTGCTTCAGTAATTTTCTTCGAACCACCTGTTTCCTTTGAACTATTAGCACAATAGAGGAATTTATCTACAATCTGTTCCCACGTACCAAAACCTAAAACACTTGCCGGATTTGTTGAGTTCATTGACGTATATAAAGAACCAACAGGATATAATGTTTGAAGTATTTCAGTCTTTAATGTTTGAAGCTCTGTTTTGTCTGCTTTCTTATCTAACATTGTTGGTAGTTCATATGCTTCAAAGTTTCTGGCATGATCTTCGATATTCCTGCAACTGTTATCTAAATTGTTAAGAGTATCTTTTACGCTTGTACTTGGATTTTCTAATGGTGCATTTGAACCAAGGTCAAAGTTCAATATTATGTCGTCTGCTCTAACAGTAGTGAAGGATTTATGTGTATGGTTTTTGTCTGCTTTCTTATCTAACATTGCTGGTAGTTCATGTGTTTCAAAGTTTCTGGCATGACCTTCAATGTTCATACATTTGTTATTTAAGGAGTTTAGTGTATCTTTTACGCTTGTACTCGGATTCTCTGAAGGTGCACTTGAACCGAGGGCATAGTTCAATATTATGTCGTCTGCTCTAACAGTAGTGAAGGATTTATGTGTATGGTTCTTGTCAGCTTTACTATTTAATGTAGTTTGAAGTTCATTTATATCGGAGATGTTGTGTTTATGAGATTTCAAAACTTTGTTCGTTGCGTCAAGTTCATCTTTGTCAGCTTTACTTTTAATAGCATCTTCAACGGTTATTTTTGTCTTAACTCTCAATGTAAATCTTGGTTCAACTAATACACCGTTAACATTGAAAGTAGAGGCATAAATTTCATCGTTATAACCAAATGCTTCTGGTGCTTTACCTGTGTCATACTGTACAGTACAGTGTATGTCATAACCTTTAGCACGAATGTATTTATATCTTCTTTCATTAACATCTTCCGTCTTCACTTTTTCATCCTGTGTTAAATATCCATGGTAGTCCGTTATAATCTGTTCATCTGAAGTTATATAATGAACATGGTTTTTATCTGCTTTACTATTTAATGTAGCTTGAAGTTCATTTATATCGGAGATATTGTGTTTATGTTCTTTATCTGCTTTTTCGGCTAATTTCTCTTCTATCTCATTTATTTCAAGTTCATGCCTACCACCACCTCCCGAAGAAGTATTTTTCTTCAGCTCTTGAAGAACGTCCACTTCGCCATCTTTGGTGTCAATAATGAGACTTTGAGTTAAAACCTTTCCTGTCTTAATGGATGTTTGTAAAACTTCTTCTTCACCGTGTTCGGGGTCATGGTCGTCATCATATCTTGTGAAATCAGAGATGTTGTCATACATTAAGTATATCTGTCTCAAAAGTTCTGCTATTTGAAACTGGAACGAAAGATATACAGAACTTTCATCATCTCCTAAAGTCAAGTCTGCTTTCTTAAGTATTTCTTGAATGTATGCAATGAGAACAGAGTACCTTGGAAAATATTCGAACAATATTTCATTAGCTGTTGGTTTTGGTGGTTCTTCTGGAGTTTCTGCATCTCTTGACTTCAATGCTCTTGCTCTCAAAGACCTAAATGTTAGAGCACCGGGTTTTACAAAGGACTTTATAAATGCTTTAATAGTTCCTGGTAAGTTATTGTTAGCATTAAGTAAGTTCCTTATGCTTCCATCATGTACGTCCATAGCACTATGTAAAAAATCTATACTTTTCTTGTAGTCAGCAATAGACTGACTGTGATTTTTTAAAGATTTGTCAATACCTTTAAGCCAATCTTCATGCATGTCTGATACTGAGCCAAGAATATCATTTGCTTCCTTTAGTGTATTTTGTGCTTCTCGTAAAGTATCCAATCCCGTACGTGCATTGTTTGCTATACGTCTTACAGTATCTATTTGACTCCTTGTTTCTTGCATCCAACCAGATAAAGTTTTAATAGTATCCGAACCATTTGAAATGAAGTTCAAAGCATTTTTAACGTCATCTAAAGCTTCTTCACCAAGTACTGCCCATATCTTTCTGATTTGGTATTGAAGAACTCCATATGAAGCAGCTGTTAAACCAGTATTTATAAGGTCCCATATCCATGATTTAGCAGTTTTTCCATCCTTTCCATCCTTTCCATCCAAACCGTTTTCGCCTTGAGGTCCTTGTATTCCTTGTATTCCTTGTATTCCTTGTGGTCCTTGTGGTCCGGTGTCACCCTTCTCTCCTTTCAGTTCATCTTTATGTTCGTTATAATATTCTAATGTCATAAGGTGTACATCATTACTGCTACCAGCAACGCCGAGAATTTGTTTCTCATTCATGACTAAATTCTTTAGGCATTTAATGTTGTCGTCAAATCGAAAGCTCTTTAACAATTCAATGAGAACATTCAGTACTTTCACTAATGAGGCATCTACTGTAGAATTTATATATTGCACCGTTCCATCATTTATGATGGGAACCTTGCTTGTTGTAATGAATGGGTCATAAGTGTTAAAAGTATCGAAATCAATGACTTTTTTAGTTTTTCCATCGTCAATGACTAAATCATTGCCTTCAATGGTTAAAGTTGAGTTTTCGTTTACTAGTTCATGTGCTCTTCTTGCTTCATTTGTTTCATACGCATATGCAGCAATAGTCATATTTTAATGAGAATAAAATGTTGTTCTATTTGCAAAGTACAGACCCAAACGAATACGGGACAGTAAAGCTACAAACAAACTTAGGTCTTCAGAATGAAGCGCTTGCTTTCAGAGTTGTTGACTTTAATACTATTGCTTCATTCGTTATAACTGACGAAACAGATTTCATGGAGTTTGAAATAGATGGAAAGAAGCACGAAATAAGATTTCACAATAATGTAGAATATAAGATGGAAACATTAGCTGGAGTGTTAAATGCGCTCATAAATACTACAATAAACAAGGAGAACGAAGAAAACTTAATGAATGTTAAACTTATTGCAGGAGTTTTGAAGTTCAGTTATGCGAAGGAGTTTAAGATAACACGAATGAGTCATAGAGTACAACTTCTTTGGGTGCATACCATATGACATTTCCTTTGAAAAGTGTTGACAAAACGATTGAGATGAAATCTGTTCCATACGTATGTTATGGTAATTGTTTATACATTGAGTCTAAAATAGCTAATGTCACAGGCATTTCAGGAGTTAATAGTAAAGGTTCAGTAGAATATAAATCTTCTGTTATGCAGTCAATTCAATGTTCATTCCAAACGTTCCTGTCATAGCAACTCATTTAGGTAAATGGGTTCGCATTAGTCCTCATAATTTGAAAGACATGCAATTCAGACTTGTTGACTTTCAAGGAGAGCCTGTAGAACTGAAGGCACCAGTGCGAATGACTGTTGAAGTTGACTTTTTAGAAAATATTAAATGCAACAGCTTACAAGAGAACTCAGAGCTAAAAATATAAAGTATGAATGTTATGTATTAGGTCATGAACTTTGGTTGTTGCTGTTTGATGAAACAAATGAATTAGTTATGTCAGTCAAGAGAACAGAAAAATATTGTGTTAGTGAAAACTGCACCAAGTCAATAAGATTAGGTTTGCATTATGAAGATGAGTTCGATACTGTTGAAGAAGTTTTGGATAGATATTACAAATTGCTTTAATTTACTAAAACATATTTCAAGCAAAGTTTATATTCTGTTGAAAGTTTTGTATACTCGTTCGAATATTTATACTTAAACTCAACTCCTGTAGTTCCTGGTGTTTCAATGATGCGGATGTTACCTATTTTCATGAATAGTGGAGTTTGACCACAGCATTCGATTTCAGGGTCGAGATAGTCAATGACACATTGTTTCCCTGTTATTCGTGAGATAACATTTCAAGGTCCTCCTTTGTTAGAATTATTTGGTTCTTGCTTATAAGATTTGTCAAAAGCTTCTTATCGTCTTTGAGTAAAATTGTTTGGTATAACTGAAGAAGGTAATGGTCTACGTTATCTGAAGGATTTGTTTGAACATTTGTGTAAGGGTTGTCGTTGGCTTCTCTTGAAAGAACTTGGTCCAGTGGTGGATACTCTAACTTAACATCTGATGTAGCGTTAGCGTTTGAAGCTGTGTTTAAATTCACCGACTTAAGATCTGGTTCTTTTTCTTTCAAACACTCCGAACTATAGTTCTTTATGACAATATTGTTTGTCGTTCGTGAGTCAACATTTGATGTTGGTTCAATTGGAACATTAACGGCACCAGCTAAGATGGATTTGCTTCTCATTTCATATAGAATAAAAACCTTTTATATGTATGAAATGAACAATATACTCGACAAGGGTTTGAATGTAAAGCTAACGAATGAAAATATTGTTGAATTCACTGAGACAGGAGCTGTGTATAAAGATGTAGAACTACTGAACAAAAGAGCAAAGGGAAGAAGCAGGAACATGAACAAAGGGTGGAAGCCTATAAAAATTTATGTCAACGATGGCTCAGGAGGTTCAAACATAAAGTATGCAGAAAGTTATAGAGTTTATGCTCTCAAAGGTGAAAAGCCTTCATTTAAGAACAGCTATTCTAACGCATATCCTCAAAAGCTAACGGATGGAGAAGTGGATGATATGAATGACAGCAAAAATATTAACAGAAATGGTGACAGAGATGCATGGAATTTGTTTATCATCAGTCAATTGAAGGTTAAACTTTAAAACAATGTTGGTCGTTCCCATGGAATATTTTTGACTTTAATGGTATTAGTCATGATATGAATCTCAAGGTATGAACGAGGAGAGATGAGAGACTTATATGCTTCCCAAATTTCTTCAAAAGGTAATGTTATACCTGACTGTTTCCAAATGAGTTCAATGTCATAGCGTGAGAAACCTTGAAAGATAACGAAGTCAGTTATGAGACGTTTTATGTTTAAAGCAAGAAAACGCCATGTTTGCATAAGTATTGCTACAGTTAAGTGGTAATGTCTGACTTTAGTAATGATGTTAGCTAATGGTGAGTCAGGCTTTGACACTAAACCTTTTCCGGCGAAGTCGTCACAAACTAATAAAGTGTTTGATGGATATTTTTTGAAGGGGTATTTTGAAAGTTTTGACAGAATGTAGTTTGTAAGTCGTTTCATATCGTAAACTCCTGAGTATTGACGTAAGTGGTGTTTGTCAATAATTCTTTCCATCTCCTCAGAAGTCTTTTGCATTCCTGACTGTATAAATTCAACGATGGCATAATATTTCCTCTTACGTCGAATGTAACGTTGAAGAAATTCAATGAGTTCACTGTCTGGAACTTTAACGACAGAGGCTTGAACTTTTGACATAAATGTTTTCGCTGTTGAGTCCATAGAGTCTGAAGTTGCTGATATAATGATTTGGTCATAATATGAGTCATTTCCTAAACGTTCTGTTATGAGTATATGACGAATGAGGTTGAATGTCTTTCCTGACCCCATCTTTCCACAATAGAAATACACACCATTTGAACAGAATTCATAATCTTTGCTGAAAGGAAGAATAAGAGAAGAGTTAAGTTTGTCTGTAGTTTCATTCATGTCTTCATCTACGTCATGTATTAAATGCTTCATTTTATCTCCATTAAAAATGCAAGTCAGAAATATTCAGAACATAGCACCGAGTCTAACTGACAAGAGTATAAAGATATACTATGAACACGTTATGATGAAACCTAACCAAAATTCAAGAAAGTCAGTATACTTATGAATATCCAAGACACTGGGTAGAGTATGTAGGAGGTGAGAAAGCTATTGAAATCAGACAGGTTCGAAGTATTCCAGCAGGAAGAACAATATTATTGAAGAACTTTAATGTTTTGAGATATAATGATGAAACAAAGAAGCAAGATAGTTTCCCTGTTGCTGTGTATGTGAACCTAGACACAGGAGATGACATGAAAGTTTTTAAACAAAGCTTCAAACGGTAGTGAGAGAACAACTGACTGCGGAAGGACATCCATTACCTTCAGAAGTTACCATAGCATATAATTTTGAAACAAACTCAATAGATTTTAAAGTCATCTCTGCAAAGAAGTCAGGTTTACATTTAATGAAGCAGATGTATATTCGAATGAAAACTTCAAAGCTATTGCATGGTTAGATAATGACGATTGCTTTAAGAAAATATTTAAATTCAGTGACTCAAAGATGTCAATAGATGACCTTCGTGGAATGTTACCATCGACGTTTACAGTTGAAGGTTCAGCAGGATTGCTTACAAGATTGTCAATTGGTGGTATTTGGTCTCGTGAGAACATTGTTATAAAATCCAGTATAAGTGAATTTGCTGAAGAATCTATATTATGTCTTTCAAACTATATGTATTCGCCGCCAAGCATTATAGTATAACAAACTTTGTCAGTAAGTTTAACATAAGACTTGTCGAACCTTCTTCAATGAAAGATGTTGTGCTACCTAAAGATGGAAAGGATGGACTCATTATTGAGATGATTTTAATAGCATATTAAATGAGCTTGTTCTTGAAGGTCATTCATGATGAAATAACTGTTGTAGAAGATGTTAGCAATTGTTCAGACATTTTGAAGCGTATAGATGATATAAGAAAGAAGTTAGATAGACCGCAAAGCGGTGAGGGCGAAGCCCGTGAGAACGCTTATGTTTCATTGACTTTCTCCAGTAACGAGAACTTTTATGAGATAATATTGAAGAGAGATGATTTTAATATGGTGTAAATGGTAGCTTGGGCAGCTTTAGGCGCAATGGGAACAAAAGCATTAGCATTTGGAGCAAAAGCACTTGGAGCTTATGACGCAGTAAATAAAATGAGTGGAGGAAGAGTTTCGAAAGACATTAGATGCAAATAAAGGAAAGATTGGAGGCTGGGTTGTAAAGAAGTTAAGATTAAATAAAATAGGGCTCATAAATAAAGCATCCAATTTGGTTGCGACTGAGTCAGAAAATGCTTTAGGAAAGGACGATGAGTTTGCAAAACACGCAAAAGACTTTAATGACCAGATGAAAGGTGAAACAATGCATTTAAATAGAGTCGATGGAACTAAAGAAAATGTTTCTTCTCCACCAGTAGTTCTTCCGTATGGTCCCTATGGAATGTATGGAAACCCTTACGAAAGACCATTTGACCCATTGACTGGTGGAAGTAACTGGTATCATTACGGCGAAGAAGAAAGACAGTCAAGTTGGAGACAGACGTGAAGAAAGCAACTAAAAAGAAACCAAGGAAGAGAGTTATAAAGCAATGAATTCAACAGGGTGAAATGAGGTGAAAAAGGGTTAGATCTCACCACTTCACCTAAATTTATTTTTGTGCTATGTTTTCATACGTGTGAGGGTGGTGATATCATTTATTTTTTATTTTATTTTTAAAAATTATTTTTATTTTATTTGGATGTAAATGACAGAACAAAAGCAACTCATACAAATCAAAACATATAACAAACATACATTTAAACATTTATTCTTCCTTCCTGAGCATAACATGTTCTTTCAAATACATCCGAGACCAGTTGACTTTTCATTGACTGTTTATAAAGATAGAAATAGTTATATCATTAAACCATACGATGACGAAGGTAAGTTATGTAAATTGTACGTTAAGAAGTTAGAGAAAGTTTATGGCTTCAAGTATGACTACAATAGGGTTAACACTGATGATGAAGATATTGAGGAAAATTTATGAGAACATTAGTGAAGTTGTTAGTGAGAACGATAGTGAGGTGAAATTGTTGGCGGCTTTGTAAATATTTAAGGTTAAGTTAGTTTTTGCGTTCATGTTGTAAAATATACGTTAACGGTTTTGTAAAGTGTCAAATTCACAAGTATTGGGTAAGGTGGAACGCAGTGCCACCATACCCAAGACTTGTATACTAACTTTCTCCCATGTGATGAATTGATAAGGGAAAAAGGATTTAACACGTGATTTATTGTTTCCGAAATCTTGAGTGAATTGGTCTAATGTCCCACCCGCTATATAATTTCTGATGTCAATAAATCTCAATTCATATGGAGCGTTTGTTTTCTTTACAATGACTTGCTTAAATTGAGAAGAAGAACCCAGCATTGATTTTATTTTCCATTTTGCAGTGTTTAAATCACGAAGAATTAAATTTAAATCAAACTTTCCCGAATTAAAACCTATGATATTCACTTTATTAAATTCCTCATCTAGAAGTTCTTTAAATGCTTCCTTCTGTTTTTCATTTAATGTATGGGACAAAGTCCCCGCCGTTTGGTCTGAAAGACCTTCAGGACTCAAAGAGTCCGTTTGCGACTTCATTAATTCTTCATATTGTTCAATATTTGATTTAGCAACTAATGAACAGGTTGAAAATAAAAACTCAATCCAATCAGAAATAAAAGAATCACTCGAAGTTAAGCAAAAATTCCTCGTATATGTTTTATCGTTTAATTTAACCGTTGATGATACCATGAATGGTTTTAAGTAAGCGTTCAAAGTTGCACACTCAGAAAGTTGTAATTCTTCTTTAGTCTCTAATGTTTCAAAGTCAAAAGTAATATAATATCTTGTCGGTTGATAATATTCCTGCAAATTATGAGCTAATAACCACTGATATATCTTCTGTTTCGTAATATGTGGTGCATATGGTTGCTGTGTCTTTTGCAACTGAACGTCTTGAATTAATCTTCCATTATTTTCTTTACATTTCTCACAATGCTTTAAAAATCTTTTTGGTTTTTCCTTTCTGGATCATCACGGATAGAATAAACTTCTTCTTTACAATATGGACAAACTCTATAGCCGGTGAGTGCTTCAACGTCTGTTATTCTGTCAGCGTGAAGTTTTCCACATGGACTCTGTGTTAATAAAATATTTACTGTTTCAAATTCTGGATCTATCATTATTGATTCCACTAATGGAAAGTCTACCTTATTTATGTCCACGTCTTCTGGTTGAGGATCACAATAATAGAAATCAATATTAACATTTAACATTCTCGCTAATCTCTCACTTTCTGATGAAATGTCAAACCCTTCATATGAATCTATTGCTTCATTTAAATAACTTCTACGAGTTTTAGGATTAACACCATCAGGAATGTTATAGAAGCGTTTAAATAACCTTCTACCTTCTGCTCTAATTTGATTATCATTCATTTTAGCGGTTCCGTTTTTGTTCATTTATGTAAGAATAAAAAATTAAAAAATAAATAAAAATAAAGTTTATTTTTTAAAGCCCATAAAATGAATTAAGAACACATAAATTTTTATCATCTGCGACGTGATGAATACATTTTAATTTACTCAAGAATGCGTACCCTGATACATTAAATCTAATTCCTGTCTTATTTAATTTCACAACTTTGAAAAGGAATGTATGAATAGCTATAAAATGATGAGAAGATGTTTTATGGGTTGCTTCCATTTTTTCTGAAATAAATGAATAAATATAATGTTTATAAGTTTTCATATCTTTTATATTCTTAATAACGAATGGTATAGACCTTTCAACTTCGTCTTCCTTCGGTGCTGTTCTTTCATATGAAACATTATTGGTATCTTCAATAATGAAACCGAGTAGGTGCCAAAAGTGCTTACTCTTAAACAACCATCGGATTTCCGGGTGAAATCGTGACACACTTTCGTCTTTCGTAGGCGGTGGTGGTTGTTACAAAAGGTAACTTCGAATGTAGCGTGAAATCTGCAAAAAAAATTCTGAAATTTGAATGGATAACACAAAAATTGAATAGTTTACGTCAATAAAAAAGAGAAAAATGAAGCCAATGTGCCTCGAACCTAGGACTTAGAGCAGCAATCCCACTGTTTATCACATTACACTACATGCATCTCTCACCTCAGTGAATGAGATCAACTATATGATAACTTTTTCCCCATTATATTCTTGTGGAAAAGTGACAAATAGCAACTTTGACCCTCTCTCTAATGAAACCACAATCACACAAAATTTTATATGTTCCAATGGTTTCTTTTGATATTTTATCTAATAAATCAAAAACTTTATCAACACCCGTGCATTTATTTAAATAATAATTTGTGTAAATATCATGATCTTCTTTCTTAATCGTATTAGTTGCATATGTCACATTTTTAAGAGCTTTTTTGAATTTCTCAGAATCTAAAGGTGGTGAAAGCAGGATACAGGGGTATTTTTCATTATCAATAAATTGTAACTTATGTTTACGAATAAATTTAGTACCTTCTTCTGAAAGTGTTTCATCTATTTCGCCATCTAATAAATTTTGTGTTGATTCTGAGACATAATTTTTATATCTTTCTTCATGAGATTTCTGAACTGCTGATTCTGAAGCTGGGATATTCATTAAACCCTCTACTTCATTTTCATTATATTTTTCAACTTCTCTTAATTCCTTAATTTTTTCATCTATTTCATCTCTTATTTTTTCCAGTCTTTCAATTTCAATTTCATTGTATTCATCATCATCTTTAATCCGTTCTTCATAATATTCAGGGAAAACATCAGGTTCTTTAGGTTTTTCTTCTTCAGATGTGGGATATAAGAAATTTATAACATCATCTTTATTCATTTTTCCATCATAATCTAAATCATTTAATAACTCGGCAAATTTTTGACAATTTCTTAAATAATATTTACTAACTTCATAACACATCTCATCTAATATATCCTTTATTTCCTCGTTTGTGAATCCTAATTTTTTAACGTTGTTAGTTTTGACGCTCATTTCATACGAATTAAAAATAAATTATTCAAAAATGTAAGACATAATTTTTAAAGTTTATTTTTTAAAAATTTTTTTATTTCATTATGGTAGTGAATCTTTCATTCATGAAAATAATTATTTCTAATTTCTTTTACTCGTTTATGAGGTCTTTGATTATGACTCCATTGATTCCATTCAGGATTTAAACAATGTTTAATTAATCGCGGAATATCTGACATCATCTATATATAGCTTCTTTTATTACATTATGTTTGGGCTGAGTGTAAATGTCTTACAATTTTGTATCATTTTAAATCTTGATTTATTCAAAAACGTAAGAATAAAAACCGTAAGAATCATACATTTTTTACTTCATATGTTAAAAAAAAAGATACAAAATCGTTCAATATTGTATGAATTCTTACGTTTACAAAAAAAGTCACACAACCCGTCATATATACTACTAATTAAATAGACAAATCTAAGTAGATTTCATAGAATAAACCCCCTAAACTTGTGGATATATGTATGTTCCATGTGGATACAAAGTCAGATTTACTAGATTAACTTTAAGAATTAAAATAATTATAATAATTTGAACTGATATCTCATATAAATATTTAATACTAGTTGAATAAAATCATTTTACTACAAAAAATAAATATATAAATCAAATAAAGCTTATATTAATTGGATTTTTTGGATTTCTTCTTCTGTGATGTTTGTTTCGATCCAGATTCTTCTTTGGTTTCGTTAACAAATGTGTTATTTTGAGCGAGTTTTGTATTATTTAAACCGTCTAATAAAACTGTTGAATTTAAGCCATCTTCCATTTCTTCTTCTGGTTTATCAAATCTCAGAAGATATAATGCAGCTTTGTATGCCCTCATATCATGTTCAATAAATCCTCCAATATTAAATTTGAAATCTTCATAAATTGAAGTTGCATTTGTTATGTAATCATCAATGAAAACTCTTTTTATCTTAGATATTCTATAAATAACTCCCGAAAGTAATAGAATATCATGTTTTTCTGGTTTAAACGTTGCAATTGTATGGGCTAGGCTTTTTATTCGAGTAACAATATGTTGGCCTAGTTGTATAAAGTATGGAATATGAGAATGCTTCATAAATCTGGAGACTGTTCTTAAATTTCGTAAAATATTTTTTTCGCCATTGTCTATTTGTGATTCATTTGCAAGGAAATTGTAGGCGTTGCGCAAAGAAAGGTATGGTGCGAAATCATCTCTTAAGAGAAATGTAGTAATTTTCTCATTTATTGATAATGGAACTCGTGCTGCTGTTGGAACGGGTGCAAATGCAATACAATTGAAATCTTTCGATGGAAGTTTGATGGATGCTAGAATTGTTGCGCAAATTGCAATTGATGCACCAGATGAGTGTCCTGTGAAGTATATTGGCCCTCTATGATGCTTAATATACTTTTATACATCAATGAGAGTATTGACTGCTGATAAATAATATCCTCTATGAAAATCTATGGTGAAATTTTTACTTGTATAGGTTGTTTTAGCTAAATCAAAGTTCGTAGCCCAATCATCGTCATCATGTGATCCTCTAAAAGTTATCCAAAGAGCATTATTCTCTTTAGTTACCATATAAAAAGGATGATATTTTGAATGTTCGCTACATTCATAAATGAAACCATCAGTTTGGTTTGTATAATTTTCCAAATAAGGCGTTAAAGCTAAGGAAGCTGCCAAACTGACGATTGAATAATTGAAATCAGTAACTTTGTTGAGTATTGTGAGAAATGAACTATTTCTCAATAGTTATTTTATTTAATGTTTTGGTTTAGAATCGTATTATGGTTTGCATTTCCAAAGAAGATTTTTTTGAGATTGAATCTGAATGGGTTCTTAAATGACGATGAATTCATAGAGTGTATAGGTATATCAGTTGAAAAATGTATTAATTAAATTTGAAAAACTAGACTAAAAACATAATTTTTTTAAAAGCTTGCAGCTTCACCTAACAAATCTTGGAGATCTGATGTCAATGCACTAATTATTGACTCAAATTCCGACTCGTCACCCATATAGCGTGACAATTTAACGTCAATCTGGTTCTCAGAGAAACATAAAGCGTCGAATAAGATATATACTTCAGGATGGTCTTTTCTTCCTATCAAATGTACGTCGTTCGGATGGAAAAAGTCATAACCATACATTCGTAAAACTTTTTGAGCGACATCCATGAAAGATTCCAAAGGAATTTCAAGCGTAAACTCTTGTTCTTCAGCAGGAGATTCTGTTAAGTGTGAAACTTCTTCAATTGGAACGAAGATTGTTCGATCAACTAAACTGAACAAATCTGGAGAAGAAGATGCCACGCAAATGTGTTGATGCCTCTTGTATGGATCGTTTGTATGGGCCGCATCTAATGGGAAACTTGTTTCCTGTGGCTGAATGATGAAACATTCTGGATCGACAATTTTTCCAAGATTGGAATTATGTAGATCGACCCATGGTAATGTTCTGAGTGAAACGCAGTTCATTAGTTTTGTGTAAAATACTTTTGCCATATTATGAGAGTTTGCTGTGAGATCTGTCTTGATATCGTCTATTGAAGAATAGCCGAGGTTAAGTAATACGCGATAAATACTCTCATCAACTGTTGAAATATCGATTGGAGCTGGAATATAAGGAAGAGGGATTGGAACTGGAAAAACGTATGATTCTGGAACGTACATTCTGAAGGCTGGATGCTGTTTTATTTGAGGTATTGTTATTCTCTGAGATGGGTCAACTGTAAGGATACGTGAAATAAGATCTTGAATTGGTTTATCGAAATTTGGCATATAGAAATCACCTGCCTTAACCTTGGCGAGCAAGTTGCGAATAGAAGAATCATCAAATGGGAGACTGCCACTTAGAAGAGTATACAAAATAACGCCACTACTCCATATATCGGCGCATCGGCCATCGTACTTGATGCCACGAATGACTTCTGGTGAGGCATAATGAGGGGATCCGCAAGATGTTTCCGCGACGTTTGATCTCATCCAGCGAGCGAAGCCGAAATCACCGATCTTAAGCTGATTTGCTCCATCAAGTAATATGTTTTCGGGTTTTAGATCACGATGGCAAAATCCATGTGAATGTAAGTATTCGAGACCATAAATAATTTGGCGGAAAAATCTCAAAGCGCGATCAGGAGCACATGTTCTGCGTGTAATAAGATAATCGAAGAGCTCGCCATTTGGAGCGTACTCCATGACGATATAAAGATGACGAGGACTCTCAAAAAACTCCACGAGTTTAAGGAGGTGAGGATGATCAAGAAAAGACATAAGAGCAATTTCTCTGTGAATCTTTTTTGACATTTCTGGTTTTGTATCAAGAAATTCTCTTTTAATTATTTTAACTGCATATTTTTGATTATCTAAAACGCTTTGTGCAAGCTTAACCTTGCCTGTTGTGCCGCATCCGAGTGTTTGCCCAAGGATATAATTGCCAATTCTTTGTTCTTTCGATTCCATAACAATTAAATAATCGTTTTTAATTCAATTTCATTTGAATTAATTATTTTTGTCATTCTGTGGAAAAAAATAATAGAAATTTTTGTTACTTTCTAATTTTGTATTGGCTATTGTTCAAAAAAGAAACTTTTTAAGTTTGGGATAGGTTTAGTTAATCTTTAAAGATTAAAAATAAAGGATGAAAATAATTGTTTTCGATCAGAATAAGAAAATATTTTTTGATAACATGTATCCTCTATCAAAAATGAATATAATAATCTTTATATTCAGCTCATTTGTTCAATTTACATAAATATTTTTATAGTTTTCAATTCATTGGGAATATGATAAAGTTTCATTCTCGAGCAAGACACACTATTGTAATGAGACAAAAATCAATAATTATAATAAGTCAAGCTATTATGAGCTAATTTATTTTAAATATCAAATTTTGATAGTTGAGTTATTTATAAATTAGATGAAACACAATCATTGACATATGCATAAGAAATACGTCCGATTTTTTAAATCCCAATTTTAAGATTCATTTTAGTAGTAGGATATGACGGGTTTTGTGACTTTTTTTGTTACATCTATATATAGACGATGCATTAAAATATATTTATTTATAAATTATTAAAAAATTAAAGTTATTTTTAAAATAATTTATTTTTTTATCTTTTATAAAAGAAGCTATATATAGATGATGTCAGATATTCCGCGATTAATTAAACATCATTTAAATCCTGAATGGGTTAAACTTCAATTTAAAAATGAAGATTGTGAATTATTAAATGAATATGAAAGCCAAAATAAGCTAATGAGGTATAAATATAATGATAAAGAATATTTAATTTCATGGAATCAATGGAGTCATAATCAAAGACCTCATAAACGAGAAGAAGAAATTGAAAATAATGAAATGGAAATCATTGATGACATTAAAGAGGATGGAATTCCTAAATTTTGTAGAAAAACCTTTAGAACTAAGTTAGGAGCATATAAACGTAGAGTATTAAATCCTGAATATCTTAAACATCAATTTAAAAAGGAAGACTGTGAATTATTAAACGCTAATGAATATGAAAATGCTAAATCAAAACTGAGATATAAATATATTGGAAGTGATGAAAGGTGTAAAGATAAAGATAAAGTTTATTCAGTTTCATATAATAACTGGCACACGTTAGGGATAAGAAAACATTTAGGAGATTATGGTAAAAGTTCCGAATTCTTCAAATCTAGTATGTACGAGAGAATAAAATAAATCAGAAATAATTATTTTCATGAATAAAAGATTCACTACCATAATGAAATAAAAAATAATTTTTTAAAAAATAAACTTTAAAAATAAATTGAAACTAATGATTATTTGAATTTATGATATCAATTATTTGATTTATTCTTTCTTCAATCTCTTCTATTCTTTTTGTTAAATCATCTATTTTCATTAATGAGGTGATTCTTGATTGAGGAATAGATTTCAAACTAACCACCCCCTTTATTTTTGAAATTTTGAATCCATCAACTTTAAACATTTTATTCAATTTACACGTTGTCAATTCTTCAAATAATTTTTTGAGAAAGGGACAAACTATCCAGTGTCACTTTTCAAAGGAATAAAAAAAATAATAAAGATGGGGAACAGGACAAATTTGCCACACGGCACTTTTTTTAAAAAATTTAATGGAGCGGAGCGATACTCTGCTGCAGGAGCCCCAAGGCTCCCAATCATTACGAAAGGGAGCCTCAGGGCTCCTGAGAATCCATCAGCAGAGGCCTTTTCATTTGGCCTCTGCTGATCAAAGATTCGGCGAAGCCATTCTTCGTCTCAGGAGCCCCAAGGCTCCCAATCATTACGAAAGGGAGCCTCAGGGCTCCTGAGAATCCATCAGCAGAGGCCTTTTCATTTGGCCTCTGCTGATCAAAGATTCGGCGAAGCCATTCTTCGTCTCAGGAGCCCCAAGGCTCCCAATCATTACGAAAGGGAGCCTCAGGGCTCCTGAGAAACCTCTTTGAGAAGGTTTTCTTAAAGAAAACCTTCTCAAAGATGATTGTCAGCATTCACTCAAAATCTACCAAGAGTTTCAAAGTTTCAAATCTATCTGAAATGAAGCTTTGAATCTCTTGTATATCTAATTGTAGAGGTACCTTTTCAAAATGTCTTCTATTGATTAAATTTAATCAGTAAAAGTCATTTTGAAAAGGTACATCTCTATAATTGCTATTGAGCATTCACTCTTGGAACCTTGGAGCTCTTGTGTAGTGCATGAAAACTCCAAGATTCTAGCATAAAACATATATCATAGACATAATTTCTTCAAAGATAATTTAAGGTTATTTTTTAAAAAAATTAGAAAAGCGTAATTTAAGGTTATTGAAAAAGTGACACCTGGCAAATTTGTCCCGCACTCTAATTTTTTATTGTTAGCATAATAGTCATTAAATTCTTCAACAGATGAAAAAATTTTTATTTCAGTAATTGGTTTAACAACATTTATTTTTTGTTGAACATTTTCACTTTCATTTATTTCTTCCTCCTCTGTTTCATTTATTTTTAAAATCGGTTTCATTTATCATTAAATAAAAATTAGAATATAAGTGATGAAATATATTTTTTAATTAATATTAAATCAGAAATGGCGGCAGGATTCTTTAAAAAATTATGGGATGGAATTAAGAAAGCTGCGGGTTGGGTTCATCAAAAGATTATTAAACCCGTTGCAAACTTTTTGGCACCAGTAGCGAAAACGGCAGGAACTATCATAGGTGGAGTATTAGGTACTAAAGCAGGTAATCCGGCAATGGGAGCACAAGCAGGTAACGCAATTGGTGGAATTGCTGAAGGAATACTTAATAAAATAGGAGGTAAATAGTTGAAAAATAAATAAATATTATTTTTATCTTAGTATCGGTTGAAGTCTTTGATAAACTTTTTCTCCTTTATTTAATATTTCTCTTATTGGGGCAGCTTTTGGCGTTATTGATTCAGCAATGTCACTAATTGCTTCTTTATTCTTAAATATCCAATTTGCTCCTTTCTTCATTGTTTCCCAAACTTTATGCGCTCCTCTTTTTACTCTATCCATAATTTCTTAAATATACCTGCAGCCATAGTTGATTATTTCATTAAAATTAAAAATTCATTTTCATCTTTTAATTTTGATTTTTATTTAATAATAAATGACGACTAACTATTTGGTGCCAAACACTAAACCGATTAATGGAAATGTGTTTCATTCATTCGAAAAGATAAATGAAATATTCGCAAAGAATGACGGTAGAAGATATTATAGAGAACTTGAAAGTTCATGCTATGACTCTGATGCTCCATATTTTGATGATAAACAAACTCATTTAAGAATTACAAATCCGGCTCATGATGTGAATCAATTAGGTGACACATATATTAAACGCAAGGTTAAAGCTACGTTAATTTCAAATAAAGCTTTCACATGTGATGACGCTTTTAAATGTATGCGTTTTATTCGTTGGTTACAAATCATCAAATCAAAGCTTTAAACAATTAGAAGTAGAAACCGAAAGAGGTGATGCTGGTTATCTTCAAATGGATTGCGCCGTGAATCTTTCGCATTTGCAACATATAAACCAAATCAGAAAGGAAAGTTAAAAAGTTTGTTCATTCGTTATATAATAATGTTCAAAAATATGATAACTCAGTATGTGGTAAATATATGACCCCTTCAGAAGTTTTCAAGAAAGCAAATGAAGAAGTTGATGTCACTTTTGATATGATTATTCCGGTAAATGATTTGTTAGCATTTCAGGCGTTCGATGATTATCCTAAATCATTTGGTGAAATCATTCTTAAATATTATGTTTTCAGGGATACTTTAGTATTTTGTCAGGTTGACCCGTTAAGAGTTGCTGATTTACAAAATTACGTTTATGAAAAGATAACTGATGAAAATTATGAAAAGATTATGAATCATGTTTATAAATATGATCGCAAATTCCAACAAATTGGACTTCCTGCCAAATTAATTACAAGCTTAGCCGCTACATCTGCTGACGCAACAGTTGATAGTGTTATTATTTCATGCACAAAGATGGAAGTTTTAGAGGATAAATGCATTACACCAGGATACGGTTTAATTGAAGAATCAGTTAAAGCAATACCACGTTTATTCAGTAAGGAAGATCCATTCATGATTCCAGCTCAACATATTGACGTTCGTTCACTAAATGGAGGTTGCATCACTCCTGAAGGTATTAGCTCGGATTTCTCATACGCTCTTCATAATGTTACAGATGTTGTGTTAGCATTTCCGAAGAATGCAATGCAAAGAACAGTTTTAGAAAATCCAATGCTTCGAGGTCTTCAGGTCACTATAGATTCCAGAAACTTCCCCGATCAAGCGATGACCACAGTGGGCGACATATTCTTTACACGTATGCTTCAAGCTTCTGATTTAGATGGAGTGAATGAATGCACGGAAGAATACGAGGACTCATTAACTAGACCACTGAATGATGATAATGGCAAGCCATTAGCTAGAACATGGAGAGACCAAACTTCATTCTTATGCACTATTCCAGTTCAACGTGATGGAGCGGGTATATTCTTTGATGGATTAGAAACTTTCAACTCACAAGTTACAGTACAAGTGAAAGCTTATCCAATCATTCAGGGTGAAAATGACACTTACTGTTCAAAGGTGACAAATCCTCCTCAGGTTTGGTTTACTAGGACTACGTATTGGACATGGACACCGGATGAAGGTTTGAAATATCATCCAACAGGTACACCACCACAGTATAGAAGTTCATATGATGAAATATTGATGAATAGAAATGTTTAAAATTATAAATTTATTTTTGATTAAATGGATTTAAATTCATCCACCCCTTATGAAAAATTAGCAGGAGTATATAATACATACATAGATGATATGATTAATAAAGCATTGAGTGATAATAGAAATGCTCTATCTAAGGAAAAATTAATGAAAATTCCATATTCTGAATGTTACTTAAATTCAATCACTGCAGCAATTGGTAAACAAAATAAAGGTAAAACATTAACGATATTAAAACAAATTATCATTATTGTTAACACTTCCCCCTATTCACATGTGTTAATTTATATCAACCGTTCAGGTTCACCTTCAGATGATACATTTGAATCTTTAAAGCATTTAATCAAAATTCCAATTATTTATTTATCACAAGAAGAAGCAGAAGATTATTTAAAAAACTTTTTAATGTATAAAGAATTATATAATACAATCAAGAAGCAAGGATTAGAGGATAAAATTATTGATAAACAACGGATGAATTATTTGAAACACTTTCTATTTCAAATTTTGATAGAGAATTTTTGCATTCACTAATTTTTCTAGATGATGCCGTGAAATCAAAACTAATAACTAATGAGAAATCATATTTTAATCAGTTATTAACTCAATGTCGACATATTCAATGTTCATTCTTTATGGCTGTTCAATACTTTAAAGCATTAAGCACAAACATTAAATCAAACCTGTCCACCCTTTTCATTTTCAGTGGTTTTAGTCGTCAACAGTTGAACGTTATGCTTTATCAAGTGAATTTACCAATGAGCATTAATGAACTTTGCACACAATATCAGCAATTAGGTGAACATGGAAAAATAATAGTTGATTTAAATAAAGGAAGTGTTAAATTTGATTAACTTTTTATAATTAATTTTTATTTTTTATTTATAATTAAACATGACAGAAATAGCAAATCTTCTACAGGTTCCATTAAAACAAGGGACAAACAAAAAGGGTGCATATAATAGAACTATGAAAGTTCCTGATGGAATGAAAGAATTAGTTCATATTGTTGCTGGTCTTCAAAAAGATGTTAAACAAATGAGAAACGTTTTAACATTACCAGAAGCTCAAGCATATGCCAAACGTCATGGACCAAATTGGGAAGCACACGAAGCAGACATTACGGGTCCAAATGGAAAACCTGATGGTATAAATGAAGTTTTCGTTACTGATGGTCAAGGTAATATTAAAGTCATAAATGGGTATAAATTAACAATGACGGATTATCCTAAACGTAAAGCATATAATGAACGTTATCCTATGCAATTTGATGAAAATGGAAAAGCTGTTAAACAATACATTGGAGAAGGTGAACATGGTCCAATTAATTCATACCGTCATAATCCATATTCTTATTTCAATGAAGAATTAAATGCTATTGAAGAGGGACCGGATGGATTACCACAATATGTTAATCAGTTTGATGGTCAATATGCAAATTTGAGACCTGAAATTCCAGCTAAGAAATTCTTTAAAGTTGCTTTATTCGATCCAGTGTTCAATGAACAGAAAGAAGCAATGAAAGCAGAATTTAAACCAATTCAAGTGGCAAGAATTTCTTCATCTTCACTTTCAGAAGCGTTCAAGGAATTGATAAAGAAACCACTTTATTCTCAACAAGGTTATAACTTTGATTTAATTAAAGAAAGTGATAGACGTAAATTAGAAAAATCAGATGGTTTTAAGAATGCATGTAATGAAATGATTAAAGATATTGTAAATGATAAAATAAGACTGGAAGAGACTCAAAGCAATATCAATAACATAATTGGTGCAGTTACAAAGAAAGTATAAGCAAACAATGATGAACCTTGGGATATTACCGTAACAACTAACTAAAACTTTAAATATATTTTTCTTTTTTTATTCAATTATAAATGAGAAGACGTTTCACTAGTCAAAAGAACACTAACGCAAAAGCAGAGATTACGGTTGGTTATAACGTAAATGATGATAAATCACGAATTATTCAAAATGTTAAAGTTAATGTTAGCCCCGAATTAACAAGGTCAGCAACTCAACCAAATTTATTAACTCGTGACTTACCGAAAAAGAAGGGGGAGCAAAATAAAGAAGATGGAGACCCAATCATTTTATCTGAACCTGGTAAAGAACCTGTTGAAATTCCCACTTATCCAACATACCCCCACCTCTTTCATCAAACATCGAGAACCCAGGAATCTACGATTCCAGTCGCAATGCGCCATATAAAGTAGACATTAATTCTGAATTAATGAAAATTTACCGTGATATAATAATTAATAATTATGATTCAATAATAAATTTAATTGACCAATCCGGTTTAATTATTTTACCTTATGAATCATTAATTCACATTATCGCCATTCTTTGTGATGTTCAAGATTCAGACGTTAAGATTCAATTTTTCATAGATGATGAGGTTTCATGCTGCGGAACAGTTGCAAAAATAAATCCTATAAAGGATATTAGCACAATTAAGATATCAAAGAACGGAACAACAACTGAACTTCATTTAACATATAATAACATATACAATAAAATAGTTGATGAATATAAAATATCACTTGAAAAATTCTTTGTTAAGGCCATTTAATATTCAAGCATTAACATTATTGAATAATAATCCTTTGAATCATAATCAATAATAATTGACCTTTCACCAGTTTCTATCGTTTGTTTTATTTCTTTTTGTTCCACACTATCTGGATCGGTCATTGTAATTGTTTTTGTTATAGTATCAGCTTTATCTTTAACTTCAATCTTTTTTCCATCGGGATATTTAAACCAAAATTCCAAAAATTCGATATTGTCAATCTGTTCATATTTTAATCTATCAATTACATTTTTAATACCATCTGAAAATCTTATGAAATGGTCATTATATGGATTTGATTGAACTAAATTTGAATGAAGTGAAATATAACCCGATGATGAATATGACATCGACTCATATTTTCTGAAAACACTAAAATTTATAACATGAATGAATTTCTTATTCGTTGAATTTATGAATTCTTGAGGTAATCTTATTCTAGTTTTATTTATCACTGGAAAATAACGCTTTACCATATTTTTAATCGTAATAAAAATGTCAATTATCAATATTATTTCGAATAATAACTGTGAATTAAATTTAACAGTTAGCGGAATTTATAATGTTACTCTCGTTTCTGTGAGTGGTAAATTTAATCCCATTCTTTTAAACCCTTCAGATTATATATCATTTATTAAAGATGACCATGAAAAAACGTATGATATGTATATAAATAATGTGATAGCGAAATGGGATATTAACATGATTTTAAGTTATTTAAATGAATCATTTATCGTATGGTATGAAGAAAATTTTAAATCAAAACCTGATAAACTTTTTGAACTTGATGAAATAAATAACCTTATTAAATTCCCGCTGAAAATTAAATTTTGTACTCCTCATCTTCGTTCATTGTTGGGGATATTAAATTTTGAAAAAGATGTTGGGGATGTTTTGTATTCTGACACTGGTTCCAATTTCATTTTAATCAAATGTGATAAAGTTAATACCCCAATGAGATTTTCACATCAAACATTAGACCCTAACTCTTACCCATCAATACAAAACATTTTATCCATCAACTTAAACACATTTTCTTTATCATATCCATTTCAATTATCCGGGAATTCATTTATTCTTCATTCAAAAGATTTATCAAAAATTAAATTTAGAATAACTGACCTATTTGATTGTGATTTAGAATTTATGAATGAAATATTATGGCAATTTCAAATAGAAAAAATAGCTGATGAGATAACGGATTAAATATTTATTTTTAAATCATAATAAATGATTAAACAACAGCAACCACAACAACTTAAGGCGCAAAGCGCCCAGGTCCTTCAGACCATTACATACGCCATATATGCATATAATTCAAAGACGGCAGAACAAACGCAAAGGTTGAAATATGGAGATTTGGAGATAGTATTGAAAAATGACCATTTCGAATTCGTTTGCAAAGGTGGTGCAGTGATATCAAATATAAAAGAAATTTTATTTATGAATTCTAAAATTAAAGGTATAACAGATGATATAACATCAATTCCACCAGAAGAACAGAGATATTACGCATTAAATGCATTTCCTAAAGTTTTGAAGATTGGAAGATTTAATTTAAATGAGGAATTCATAAAAGGTTTCCTAAATGACATAATGAAGAAGGTGGATAAGGAATATGTGGATAGTGAGTTAAATAAGAAGGCAGATAAGGAATATGTTAACGATGAGTTAGAGAAGAAGGCAGATAAGGATTGTGTGGCTAGTGCGTTAGAGAAGAAAGCAGATAAGGAATATGTTGATGAAAAAGATAATGAAATTATAGAAAGGGTTGAATGGTATCATGAATGGACATCGAAGATTTTAAAAACTAAAGCTGATACAGGATGGGTTTCAGGATGTTTAGACCTTAAAGCGGATAAGGAATATGTTAACGATGAGTTAAATAAGAAAGCAAATAAGACTCATACACATACAAGTTTTACAACTGTTGCTATAGAAAGTATTGAAGGAACGGTTGAAGAAACTGGTGGGGATGCATTATATTGTAAACCTCCTAACTTTCCACAAGGTTTAACATCGGATGACGACATAACGACGATGAGAAACATTAGATGTAAAGATGTTTATGTCATGAAGGATGAACATAATATTAAATTCACTGCTCAAGATTTATATGACAAGAAAGCAGACAAAACAGAGCTTCAAACATTAAAGACAGAAATACTTCAAACATTATATCCTATAGGCTCTATTTATACGTCAATGAACTCTACCAGACCAGAAACAGTTCTGGGTTTTGGAACTTGGACTCAAATAGTCGACAGGTTTTTGTATTGTGCAAACTCTTCAAAGGAAACAGGTGGAAGTAAAACGATTTCAGGTGAAAATTTACCTGCACATAGTCACTACATAGATTTAAGTACATCTCAAGCAGGTTGGCATAAGCATAGATATTGGGATTGGTCAGCAATGACAAAAGGTAAAGGATATGATGTTAAAGACAACGTTAAGTTTGCTATAAATTGTTACTGGAGTAACACTGAGGGAGGAGGAAACCATACACATCGCGTTTCAGGATATACGCAAACAACGGGACAAAGTAAAGAATACATGCCACCTTACATGACAGTTTACGCATGGTATAGAGTTCAATGAATGTGCTTGACCCAAAGGTCTGGGCTTACCGAATGAACTAAATATATTTTATGTTTGTAATTAATTAGGTAATGAAGTAATGGATGAACTGCAGAAATATATTTTATCGTTAATGGTTTAAGGTTATTCAATAATTAATTATTTTTGAAGAACTGAAGGTGTCACTACGTCACTCAGTGTCACTCGGTTAATTAACTTCTCTGAAAAAATGAGACAACATGACATTTTGACAACATCACTGGAAATATGTGTTATTGTTAATGTTTACGTTAATGGTTTAAGGTTATTCAATAATTAATTATTTTTGAAGAACTGAAGGTGTCACTACGTCACCATGTGTCACTCGGTTAATTAACTTCTCTGAAAAAATGAGACAACATGACATTTTGACAACATCACTGGAAATATGATGCAGCCCAAAAATAAAGTTAGTTTTAAAATTATTTTTATTTTTTTATTCCTATATAAATGACAGCAACAAACAACAACAGCAACTATATCGTTTCTGATGAAAAAGTTATTGATTCATTAGCTGAGGAATTAGTTGTGGCAGAAACTAAAACCCTCAACGAAAGAATTGGTGAAAACAAGATTGATTTACATAATTACCTCAAACATGATGGAGGAAGAGGAAGGAAAACTGGTATGGCTTTATTAGTAAATAAAATTTCAAATTTAACGATTATAGATGTTGATATCAATAAATCGTACAATGATGAACTTAAAGAAACAGTTAGAAAAGACATTCTATCAAAACTTTCGGATAAAGATGTTATCGTTAAAACCGCTTCAGGAGGTCTTCACATTTATTGTAACACTAATTTCTTCTATTCAGTTTCGAACAGAATGATTAAATGTTATTCCTGCAATGATTATGATATCGATATCATGACTTCTATGGATGATTCAAAGCGTTCTTTAGTAGTTATGGCTGATTCAAGAGTTCGCAAGAATGCAACAGAACCAATCAATACATACTCATTCATTCGTGGAAGTTACGATTCAACATTAACTAGAACAGTGAATGATATATTAAATGATTTGAATATTAAGGTAAGAGTTGAACAGAAGAACGAAGAAATAAAGACTATTATGAATGAAAACAAAGATGAAAACATTGACGATAAACTTGCCCAGAGCATAGTTGATGGCATTAGTGATTTTGAAGTACATAATGACGGTGGAAACATGAATTTGGAAAAAGAAGTTACATTATTCACACTGTTTCAAGCTATTAATTCGTTACCTAATCATTTAATTAATGAAGCATACGATAACGTTTATAACTTCTGCAGCTTAACTGAAAATGCAAAAAGTAATTTTGAAAAAGCACGTAGTAGATATGCACATTTAATGACTTCTCCGTTTGTTTTAGTGAAGATTCTAAAACTTTATCAAAAGGAATATTATGATGAATATGTTTTACCTTTATTACGTAAGCCAAAAATAACATTTGATATAAAACTTGATGACTCGTTTTTGATAACAGATATTAGACGCAAGGCTGAAAATCATCAGTATAAAAACAGTTCTGAAGTAATTGAGGATTTATCACGTGTAATCCGTTTTGTAGATTGTGGAAACAAATACTTCATTCAGAAAGATTACAACATACACGACAAAATGAATCAAATATCATTCGTTCTTCAGTCAAACATGAAAGAGTCACTCAAAATGATTAAATTATTTAAAGAAGAAGGTAAAACAATAACAGCATGGGACGTACTATTAAATCAATTATCCTCATTAACCGTTAAGGGTGTTTGCTTTAAATCTGATTCCCCAGATGTTTTCTCAACGTTTCAGGGTTATAAATACAACGTTCTTGAAAAAGTAGATTACTCAAAAATTGAGATGTTTATGAATTTCATTAAAGAAGCCATTTGTGATAATAACGATGAAGTGTATAAATACCTTCTCGGCTGGATTGCATCAATGATTCAACATCCTGGAATCAAGAATGAAACAGCAATTATTTTGAAAGGACTTCAGGGAACAGGTAAAAACAGATTTACAGACATTATTTCTGAACTCCTCGCTGGTTATTCATGTAAAAACATTACTGAAATAGGTGAGCTAACGGGTAATTTCAATTCAGTAGTTGAGAATAAAATGTTTCTTGTACTTAATGAACTCAAGAATGTTGGTGAAGATAGACTTGCAAACTTCAACGCTTTGAAATCAATTATTACGGATAATGAGATTAGAATTAATGAAAAGAATCAACCCAGAAGAACTGCTCAGAACGTTGCCAATTTCATTTTCGTAACTAATAACGTCTACCCTGTCAAAATTGAAGTTGGAGACAGAAGATACGTAGTTTTAAGAGTTAATGGTAAATTCAAGGGTCAATTTGATTATTTCAAGAATTTAATGGATTCATGCACAAAGGAATTTTATGATAACCTTTTAACATATTTTATCAATTACGACCTTTCATCATTTAATGTACGAATCATACCGATGACTGAAGCCAAACAAGATTTAATAGAATTATCAACAAATCCTTTAGATGTATGGATAAATACACATTATGATGAATTGTGTGCAGGTATGACGTGTAAAAATGCTCTATTCTGCAAACCATCAGACATGAAAGACAAAAACTTTCAAATGAGCATTAAAGATAAATGTGATAAGAAACAGAGAAGAATAGATGGTAAACAAACATGGTGTTATGTTTTGAAAGAAGAAATGAAAGGATTATATAAACAGGTTGAACCAAACGATAATGAGGATTCATTTACTGATGATGAAATACCTGTAAATGAAGCTTTATAAAGTATGATTTGAATTTATTTTTGCATTAATCCTGCTGTGTTGTCAAAATGTCATGTTGTCTCATTTTTTCAGAGAAGTTAATTAACCGAGTGACACATGGTGACGTAGTGACACCTTCAGTTATTCAAAAATGCTTCATAAGTGCCTTCCTCCTTAATCCTGCTGTGTTGTCAAAATGTCATGTTGTCTCATTTTTTCAGAGAAGTTAATTAACCGAGTGACACATGGTGACGTAGTGACACCTTCAGTTATTCAAAAATAATTAATTATTGAATGACCTGAAACCATTAATGAAAACATTATTTTTGGGTCATTTACACTCATTACGATGAAGTCATGACAAATCATTTCCGGGACTGTTGTCAAAATGTCATGTTGTCACAAACTTTAGAACGGCATAATTTAAATTTTTATTTTTATCATAAATGGATACCCCACAAGCTCAAAATTTACCACGAATCATAACAAGGGAGGAAATGATAAAAATGATGCGAGAACATGTTAAAAATAACAAACCACTAAAACTGAGAAAATGTGGTTATGCAGTAATGATGGAAAGAGAGACGTTGTCAAAGAGGAATAAAAATTAAATTTGGATAGAGTTTAAAAATTCATCTTTATTAAATTCATCTCTTCCAATCAATTTATTTATTCTATTAAATTCTTTTATTTTTGCTTCACTCAGTTTAATGATTGAACGATAAGTTTCTAATTTTTCGATTATTTCTTTATCGTTTTCAACCCCACCGCATTGCGACTTCTTTTTGTAATAGCATATTTTTGATTTAATTCTGTTTAGTTTCTTTTTATATTCATTGTCTGGACTCTGAATCTTAATTGAATCAGGACTCTTGGATGCTTCGTTGTCACTCATTTCTTACGAAATAAAAAAATTAAATATTATTTAAATATAATGGAGTAATAAAATAAATCGGAATTTCTATTAATTTATTGTTAACCTCAACTAATGCATTACCGTTAATATATCTAACAAATTCAGCTATTGTGTCAAATCTTCGTCTTCTTTTTGTCATTGATTTATCAGTTTTTCCATAATCGAGATGAATCAAAACTTTATTTCCTTGTTTAAAATTCATGAGCCCCGAATTAATTTGTTCACGTTTAACATCATTTAACTTTTCCATTTGCTTTCTAATATATTCCCATTCTTTTGAAATATCATTTTTCATTTCCACCGGTTTCATGTTTATTGTTCTATGCCATGTATTATTATAATAATATACTAACTGCTGTATGATGGAGTCATGATTTCCATCCCAGTATATCTGACCGTTAACCCCTAACGCATCTCTAAGAGTTCTCATTACCGCATCAACTATTTTATTATGAAACGTATATGGAGAGGATGAAAAGAAAAAATTAATTGTGGGAAATAATGAGTCATAGCTGCCTGAAATCCTTTATCACCATCACCCCTGATATTATCTACTACTCTTTCATGATCTAGTAAGTATTGAATAGCTCTTCTTGTTTCCTGTTCTGTTTTCCCTTTCACCGGAATGCAATATAAATATCTAGTGTTAATGTTAATGGCAAATAAATAAGTAACGTTTCCTTTTGAATATTCCAGATGATCGATTTCGTATGAATATGGATATGGTGCAAATGAAGGTCGACTAAATTTTTCCTTTAACGGTTGAATTTTTGGGTCAATTGGTTTATTTAATATCTTGAAATCCTTTTTAAAATCTTTTTGCTTCTTTAATGTTTGAAATGGATATAATAGAGTGAATGATGAAGGATTAACTGAAGGAGGAGGTACTGTCGTTGGAGGTTTTGGTGTTGCAAGTGGTTTAATTTTATCTGCTTTGATTTTGGATTTCATTCCTTCCTTCATTAATTCTGGATGTATTCTATTCATTTGTTTTAAATATGCTGTATATAAAGGTTTGATATACTTTCCCGCTTCGAGTTTATGTTGAAGGATGAATTCCAAAAGTTGATCTTCATTTAAAAGTCGGGCTGAATATGGTTTAACTAATGAATCATAAATTAAAGCTTGTGCTTCATTTATGGTCTGAAGGACCTGGGTGTTTTGCACCTTTTGTTTTTGTTCCTTTGGTTTTTGCGGCTCAGGATTATATAATTTATATAATTCATCAATATCTTCTTCTGTTAATACTTTATTTTTGAAATCTTTCAACTGTTTAAGTTGCGATTTAGTTTTTCCCTTTGAATATTCATTATTTTTAATTTTG